GAAATATTTATGGATATTAATTAAAATAACAGGCATTTCGCTAATTTGAGGTCAGGAGCAATTCTAATTGCAAATTGACAATTCTCCATTGATTTGATAAAACATTTTCTCCTTTGCCAGGTCTAAGTCGCCACCCACAGGTCACAGATTTTACCATATCCTATGTTTCACTATCGGTCCAATTGTTTCCGAATTTTGTTCAACGTAGGCGCAACAACCGATTCATTTCTCCCCACTATTCACTCCGCTCCCTGCAAAAGTACCTCATTTAAATCCAAAATAGGATGGATAAAAACAGCCATGCGTGGTGTGCATGGCTATAAGGCTAAATAATTTGATAGGGCAGAACTGTCTTGCGGTGATTGAATGATACCAACAACGTGTTGATTCTAGATGCTGTTGTTGTTAAAACTTTTTATAGTTACAACTGAAACACATTTTTTCAGTTTTACTGGAAATGCGAAGCTGAGATGTGCTTTTGGGCCAGGAAATTTTTGCCCACAGTCTTGGTGGCAATACATTTTTTATACTATATATATATGGTATATATATATATATAACGAAGTTTAAGTTGGCGCCATGTTAGAGCTGGAGCATTTGCCGCCATTCAGAAAAACGGATGGAAAATCTCGAACATCATCGATCCCATGTAAAGAGGAATAGTAACAATTTTGTAGGGAATTAAATTCTTTATCATTTTGCTTCTACGAAAATGTGTCGTATAGTCAACAGATAACGAGAAATTTAACGTATATGTGCATGTAATATCATTTTCGTCTAACCTAAGTGAATAAAGACAGAGTACTATTTTTATTTCTCAAGAATGAAATTTTCTATATAAAACGTCATTTACTTTTTTTCGACACTTTGTTGATTCTCCAAGTATAAAGATTGAAAGTCAAAAATTCGTATCAAAATAACCACGTGGCAGACTCTACGTACATTATCCTCGTATAGCAGCATGTAACATATTTCCTCGTGGAAATAACCTTATAAGTAACAATTTATTATCAAGAATATCATTTTGAGAGTGAATCCATTTTTTATTGCAACGGGAAAGCATGACAAATGTAATATTGTTTGATATCTTATGATGTCTTCAGCACGAAAATGCATGTCAGGCACTTCCATCAGTCCGTCTATTGGCCATTTTGTGACTGCATAGCCTAAGCAACCATTGCAATGGTTTTAATTGAAACCGGTATCATCTACTACAACTTATCTTCCATTAAAATTGCTGTTACTATTTAACTCAATGATAAAATGGTCAAGAGACACACTGACGGGAGTGACTGACTTGATCTTCATAATGCATCAGAAATTATCAAAAAATATCACATCTTCCATACTTGCACGAGGTAGTAAAAAATTAGGTCCACTTTAAAATGGTATTCTTGATCATAATGGTTACGAAATTATTATTATTATTTACAAAAAATAGTGCTATATTCCCAAATTCTTGGCTCAGCCATTATGAGTAGAGTAAATGCAGGTAATTTGGAATACCAGTTTGTAAAACAATCATACTCACCAAGGGTTGAGAGCAACGAGAGTGAAAACCACACTTACAGTAACTGAAACTAGTGTATTAATAGCATTAAAATAAACAACAGTCTTATTCTTCTATAAATCGCATAAACTTTGGTTTATATATAAAATCACTGAAAGGCACCAAATACCTAATATGAATATAATTTGGAATATGGTATTCCAAATTATGTTCACTTTTAAATAATAGACTTTTAACTTAAAGTTCAGTTCTGAAATCTAGATAAGTCTTACTTAAACTCTTAAGACTACATTATAGACTTTTCTATTCTTTGCAAAAATCGCACACATAGTAACCGTGGTCATAGCCAGCGCATTCGCTATGGACCCATCCTACGCACATGAGACATTGGACCCATTCCTCTCCCCTTCGATCATCTGCATATTTTCCATCGCAAAAGAAACAAGTGCAATCATCTTCTGTTGGCTGTTTCACCTGATCTTCCTTGGGTAATTCCTCTTCTGACTCGTCCGACTTGAATGTAGCATCACTATCAGAGTCCGTAAACTCTTCTTGTAATATCATTCTTTTAGCAGCAGTCTTACCCTTACGTTTCTCTTTTTAATCAATTTCTTTACCTTTTCTCTTTTCCTTTTCTTTTTCTTGCTCTTTCCCTTTATTTACTCCTTTTCCCTTGCCCTTGCTGTTCTCTTTGCCCTTTCCTTGAACTACATGTTTATCCTGATCTTCATTTTTAATTAGATTTTTCTGCCTTTCAATCCTTCTCTTTTCTGCTTCCTCCAGTTCGTTTTTATAAGGTGAATTTGAAATAATTTCAGATTTCCCGATTTGCGACCTCTATTAGATGTGCGTTTTCTAGTTGTGGGAATAGGCGAAATATCAAACGGTGTGGTAACGGAGCCACTATGAGAAGGGCCTGGGCGGTTTTCTTTTTCCTGTTCTAATAACGCTGAAGTATTCGGTTGTTCTTTGTAATTTATTGAAGTATCACAAGAGCTTCCAGGCTGAATAATGGACGGTGACAGATTTGTGATTTCAATTCTGTCCTCTTGACAGTTTGCGCTGAGATGACATGGTTCTGTTATCGATGGAGGTTCATCTGGCAGTTCACTGATGTTTGATTGATCTTGTTTTACATCATGAGCTGCTGCGACATAGTCTGGATCTGTGAAGACGTATCTATTAAATGGATAAATTCCCCCGATACTGAAGCCTCTAGCTGCAATTTCTCCAGTCTGGCATTTACGATATGCTTTACCAAATAACTCTACAATATCATAAGCTGTAAGGGGTCTATTATTTTCGCGCAACCACACCCGAATTTCCTCGCTATAATAGGTCTTAAGGGGACCCATGAAGGACTTATCCATGGGCTGAATTTTATGTGAGCAGTGTGGTGGCAGTGAAACCAAGGTTACGTGATTTTGTCTCGCTTTATCTATGAGCTCCAGGTTTTTTGTATGACTAAAGTAATCATCGAACAAGAGAAGAACTGGTGCCGCAGCAGATGGTTTCACATAGTCAATAAAATGCTGGAACCATTGCGTGAACAAATATGTCTGTATCCAACCAGATGGATGTGTCCGTCCAATCGATCCCACAGGTGCGCCTTTCATTAAAATTTCGCTCATATTTTTGCGGGGGAAAATTATCATTGGCGGAACAAAAATCCCAGCAGGACTCATACAGGTCACTATTGTAATGAGCGAACCCCTTTCAGCGGACGTTATGGCTCCAATTTGTTTTTTGCCGCGACGAGCAATTATTTTAGGGTATTTAGATTGGACAATAGATAGTCCTGTCTCATCCACATTGAAAATACGATCAGCAGTAAATTTTTTCTCATCGTAAACTTTGTCAAGGTTATCGTAGAACTCGTTCATTCTTTCTTTCGTAAATCCGCTTGCTCTAGCAAATGATGTCCCAGAAGGCTTCCGCATTGATAGTATTTGCCTATGTCTTGAGAGAAATCCTTTTAGCCAGTATCTGCCAGCTTTTTCATCCTTAAATGGATTCGACAGATTATTTCTGATAGCAAGTTGGTACGCTATTCTTCTCATATCCATTTGAGTCAAACCATATAATTTATCTTCCATTATAAGGGCGTAATTTACTAGCATGTCCTCAAACGCTTTATCAAAGAGTGGTTTGCGACCAATCTTTTTTGAAAGAAGTTCTGGCATTGAAAGTTCTGTTTGATTTGCAAGCCGAAATACAGTAGTTCTCGGTACGTTATAAGTCTTCGCTGCCTTCAAATACCCCATCTTTTTTTCTCGAACCGCTTGTACTGCAGCAGCCATATCGTCTTCAGACCACTTCTTTCGTTTTTTGTATCTGTTAGTGGAAGAGGGCATTGCTAAAACAAAAAACAATCAATTATAAAGAAGCCACAAAGCAGAAAATACGAAAAAGAAACGTATGTGCGCTAAATGTGCATATAATTCGGAATATTCCAAATTCACTCCACCTGCCGTATACCAAATTAACAACAAACCTTACCTAACCTTAAAATGTTGTGATATATTTATATCTACAATTTGTAGCAAAATAAGCATTAATTTCAATAATTAATATACTAAACTGTGTATTTGTATCAGTGTAAACATCTGAATATGCTTAAAAGGTGAGATGCGAATGGATTACTTACTTATTTAAAAAAATTCACAAACAGTACTTCCACTTGTACGATAATTGCCACGACACTAACAACACAGCGCCCTCTAAGCCACGGCTTATTCGTTGACTGCTATGTAGACTATCTGATACCGATGTTTCTTAAAAGATGTCGCTGCTAATAACTTAGTTTCTCCAGTATTCCAAATTACCAACAGTATAGAAATATAATTTCATATACTTCACTTTAATAATAATAATCAACAATAGGTACCAGCAAAAGAATTTACTGTACCCCAATTGTAGGATTTCCTCATACAAAACCTCTTTATTTCTTGGCCTATTTATGAAAAGATTTTTGTAACATTGGTTGCATCCCGTGCTGGTGCTCGTCACGGCTGACCAAGCAATTGAATTGAGTTCACTAGCTAGCGCTGTCCACCTGTTGCTGAGCGATCACGTGCTTATTATATTATTTTAGGACTGGGTATATATTTTTCAAAACATGCTGTATTCTTGGAAGCCCACCTCACGCTGGAGGTAGATGTGGTAATTTTTATCATATTCAGACCTGTGCCAGCTACACTTAGGTATATGAGTACCAGCTATTTCAGGCCACGTCATGTTTATTCATCGAACACTTGCGGTATACTGAAATCTCACGTGACTCTTGCTAGGCCCTTCAGTAGAAAAAAAATGTAGTGCCGTTAGTTTTGATTTATGGACTTTGTCCTGTTGTTCACCTTATCCTTCTCTACTAACATCAGGCTTTGGGCAAGGACGATACAAGTAAACCTTTCTTATGTTACAGCTTACCAGCGCTTTACTACCTTATTAAAGTTACAGTCATTGAAAATAATACATTTTTTTATTACAGGAAAGGTGGTCTGCTATTAAACAATGTTCTAGGAATAGGCGGCGCGGTGTTGATGTGGTGTACAAAACTAGCGCATTCCTACGAAATGCTTTTCTTCGGTAGATTTATCATAGGAGTTAACTGCGGTAAGTAGATAACTGTTATCTGTATAGCCTGTTCTAGATTTAAAATCTGTAGGTGATGTCGATACCTCCGCATGAGAGGCGGTCTATGAAACCGTTCCTTGCAAGGTACCATGGGAAGAGACGTTTTGACGTTGCGTAGTCCTTTCCATTACCAGTAGAGGGCGCGAGAGCTCATTGCTGTTAACCAGGAAAATTAGTACTAAACACGTGTTGACCATAAATGTAATTCGAAAGAGACCGTTTTCACACGGTAATCAAGTAAATTGAATATTTGCTTGAATTTTTTTTTTAAATAAACATTCTGTAATTGTATCTCTTCAAATGATATATTAAGGAGAATTTTACAGTAAGAACAAAAATCAATGATCTAGTTTTTTATGTTTAAAATAATTTTATTTTAACTACAACTGAATAAAGTAATAATAGTGCACTTTTAAATTAATTATGGTAAATTATGTCACTCAAGTGTCGCCCTTCTTCGCGCTCGCACATCTCCAATCCCTCTTGAAAGTTGTGCATTACACGTAGGATCATTTCTTGTGGTATTCTTGCGAGTTCTTGACGAATAGCAATTTTCAGTTCCTGTAACGTACGGGGTTTGTACACTTTAGCCTTAAGGTAACCAGACAAAAAGATGTTATATGCAGACAAATCTGGGGAGCGTGGAGGCCAACGAACATCGCAGAAGCGGGAAATCACATGTTCAGGAAACATTTGTCGACACACATCCATTGATGCTTTCGCTGTGTGAGCTGTGGCACCGTCTTGTTGGAAGTAAAGTTCTCCCATGTTTACTGGTTGCTGTTGAAGTTCGGATAACAGAAAATTTTGTAACAAGTCAACATAACGTGCTGAAGTAACAGTTACTGCTCTTTCTTCGTCCTCTCTTGGATTTTTGGCCGCCCAATACCTACAGTTCTGCTTGTTTACATATCCCGTTAAATGGAAGTGCGCTTCATCACTCATCCTTATGACGACGTTAGGATCATCAGCAAAAATGGTCAGCATTCTCGCACAAAACTGTCTACGCTGTGCTAAATCACTTTCCGTTAGCTCATGCACAATCATTATCTTATAAGGATAAAATTGTAAATCGTACAGAATGCGTTGTAACGATCGACGGGACATACGCAGATCTGGAGCTTGTCCCCTAGTGGACCGTTGAGGACTATCAAGGACCGCTCCTCTCACTATTTCGATATTACCTGGTTTTCGAACGGTACGGGGAAGGCTAGGTGGCTTCCTCTTCAATACAAATCCAGTAGTTCGAAATGCCTCAACCCATCGGAGTATCGCATTTCGATCTGGAATTGACCCTTGGCGTTCAACATTGAACAGGCGACGGAATAAACGTTACTTTACTTCAAAAATGCTTTCTCATTAGTCAAATTTGCGCTATGGGTTAGTAGTTATTCTTTCAAACTTGCTTATATTTGTGACCATGTTATGTTTTGATTTCAAGGCCATGCCGTTTTAGATTTTGTAAAATTGATAAAAGAACTTGGGTGCACTCGGAGGCGCAGACCATCTTTTACGAGGGGATATCGATATCTTCATTCCAAAAAGTAATAAGTACTTCTAGATCGGGTGTTAAAGGAATAATTACACATCCACACCAAAATTGTGCTTAAACGTATGTTTAAGATTATCTATTTTGCTTTTAATTACTTTTCCCTTATCCTGAAGCCCTTTTGAATTTCTGGATATCCTAATAACAGGCCTCAAAGAAAACGGCGTTTATATATTTTTTTTTAATATAACTTGTAGTAGATCTCTGCATGCAGAACCAAGGTATTCACGAGCACAAAGTTTCTCTGATTCTCCATATGTAATGTGTATAAATTGAGTTGAATTGTCAGTACTATACTGTAAGAAAACACAGTTAGTCATAACTGCTTTGTGTCAATTTATGATCTTAGCACCATCCATACCGGTCAGTTGACCAGTTTTTCCATTTTATATTTCAACAAAAATAGCCGGAAGTCATTTCCAATTCTGTGGGATCCACTCTATGGTATCACCATTTTAAATACTTTAGGTAAATTTATAACTGATAATTAAGATGTATCCTTTTTCTGAGTTATCTTATTGAATTGCTTTTTATTCAATAAATTACGACTACATTCCCGTATATAAGCTATATGTTTCATAATTCCAACTTCGTTGTCGTAAATTCAAAACACTATGGGAATTATTAATACGGTCCATGAATTATTTAGCTGGAGCAAGTGAAGTTGTAAGACATTACTGTCTAGAATGTAGATCATTTAATTATTTCTGATCTCATGACGAGTTCGATGTTTCTGATAAAATAGGGGAGACTCGGGCAAAGTAGATACGTTAAGCTCATAGAATTAAGAGAATACACGTGAATAAATCTGTCTATTGATCTTTCAAACATAAATAATAATATTTAGCTTGGAGATAAATTTGTAGGCTTGAGCTTAACTCGCATAGTGAAACACCTTAATTTGTTTACGTTCAACATTAGTTGGTTTAATCTTTGTTGCTAGGTATTGTAAGGTAGTTGCTCTGCATATCACAGCATTTCCTGTGACCTATATTACCCGCACAACCCTATATTTGCTAACAGTTTCTAATAACAATATTTATACTTCATGAGATAATGTGGCTATATATCACAAATGGTTAGGAATAGTTATTATACAGTGCTTTCCCTTAATGTCCCCCTCCCCTTGGATTTTTTGAACGGATCAATTCAAATAATTAAAACTTAAGGTAATGAAATTGATGCGTGGATACCATATTTTAGAGTAAAATTGACAGATGAGAATGTCAAGATGGTCGCCGGGCGCCATCTTGGAAAACAAAAATTATATGAAAACGGGGGTCTTGTGGCACGACATTTTGAAGCTCCTGACGAGCAATTTATAACCCTACAATATAAAGTCAACACCTTTACCTACCTACTACAAAATGGTGGTGCACCAAATAACTACTTGAACACAAACCCACTAACATGCATATCTCGACAAATAATTGTAATTCCCTACCGTATCCACAGCAACAGCGATAAAAACTTGTTTTATTATTTATTGTTGACAGTGACAAGAATATGAGTACGAAAACAAACATCATCGTACAATTAAAATATTCTTATTTAATTTTCGGTTATAGTATAATTTTTATTTATGGCGCGAGGCGTAACTTTCACGAGACCGAAAGGATTTTTAATGATCGTCTCCCGAATCGCCATATCTGCAGAAAATATTTAAGGGAACTTGTATCTAAATTTACAACTACTTGTAGTGTAAACAGCAAAAAGTCCCCAGGTCATTCGACCATCCCGGAAGAAAAGCAAGTTCAAATAATTGGTGAGATCATAGTAAATCTCCAACAGTCTACTTCCACCATACAAAATTCAAATGGTACATCAGCTAACTGAAGATGACCCTGATCGAAGAACAGAATTCTGCGAGACTATGACGGAAACCATTGCACGGCATTATACCTATATCCAAAATATCTGTTTAAGTGATTAATGTACACTTTTATTCAACGGTAATGTGCATAGACAAAATTGTCGTTATTGGAGTGACACCAATCCTCACGTCTTCCGGAAAACTCAATATCCACAAAAAAATAACGTTTGGGCTGGGATATTGGGAAATCATATTGTGGGGCCTCTATTCATCGAACAAACTTTAACTGGAGAACTGTATTTGGATATGCTGAAAAATGCTATTGACCCTCTAATCACCGAAATCGTCGAAGCGAATCCTAATGAATTCGATACTGATATTGTATTCCAGCAAGATGGTGCTTCACCACACTACTACAGACAAGTTAGGGATTATTTACGAGTAGATAACAATTTTCCCGGTCGTTGGATGGGCCGTCGAGGTCCTGTGGAATGGCCAGCTCGCTCGCCAAATTTGACACTTTTAGACTTGTTTATGGAGATATTTGATGCAAAAGGTATAGGAAACTGAACCTGCTTCAATATTGGATATATGGCTGATAATAACAAATATTTGTAGAAATATCGATGTGTTCAACGCGAAATTACGAACCGGCTGTTATTGTTAAAAAAGTTCAAGGCTACCATTTCCAGCATCTTCTGAACTGAACTCAACGTATTTATTCGAATTATCAAGTTAAATGTCAATGTATTCAGGTAATTATTAAATGTACCACCATTTTGTAGTGGGTAAAGGTATTGACTTTATATTTTTTTGGGTTATCAAGTACTCGTCAGGATCTTCAAAATTATGTGCTATAAGACCCCCGTGTTCATATAATTTGTTTGTCCAAGATGGCGTCCAGCGGCCATCTTGACATTTTCATCTGTCAATGTCATTCTGAAATATATTATCCACGCATCAATTTCATTGCCTCAAGTTCTAATTTTTGAATTGATCCGTTCAAAAAATCAAAGGGGAGGAGGACATTAAAGAAAAGCACTGTATATGTACTGAATAGAACAACCATGAACGATCCCAAATTCTGAAGATTTTTCATGACACCATTGATAGTATACATTACAATGGTTGTTTCCATCAGTTCGCGGTTCTATACAAATGAACTGTAGTACCTATTCCGACTAGGATCTTTGATTAAATAACTTTAATTAAATAATAACAAAAATAGCAATACGGGCGAATGTAAGTTGTCTACTCTTCATTGCCCAAAGAGTTTTTTCTGCCAAAACCATTAAGTCAATTGTCCTCATTTGTATAACTGAGAAAGTCTTGGAATATATGTCAGATACCTTGAAGAGCCGGTCGAGTATATAGTAGAGAGTTGGAATTATAAGCACGACATGTATCTTGCAATATTATTCTTTTGTTGAAAAACAAATGTCGTCTGATAACCAAATAACAACTGCTTTTTGATTATTGAAGAAAGTTGGACAGGTATGTCTACGTACTTTTTTGTGAGGGCCGATTTATGGTTTTCGATAAAGAAAGATAAATTTGATTATTTTTCAGGTCTGAATACTTCGCTGGTGCCGATGTACATTTCGGAGATCTCACCGCTAAACCTGCGTGGAGGTCTTGGTACTGTCAACCAGCTGGCTGTGACCATTGGACTGCTACTATCCCAAGTGCTTGGCATCGAACAAATACTCGGCACCAACGATGGCTGGCCGCTCCTCCTGGGCTTGGCTGTCGTACCTGCTCTTTTACAGGTAAATTTACCAATTGCAATTGCATAGTTACGTACTTAGACTAGATTGTTAAAGTTCTGAGAAGGATCAAATCTAATCCACTAAAATTATATAGAATTGAAATCATCGGCTCACAAAGGTAGACTGGCAGTTGAAATAGCCTAATCTTATGGGAAGTGGGTTCCACTGAAGTTTTTTGCAATTTTCATATGATTATTTTTAAAACGCCCTCATTAAAAATTGTCATGGCCGCAAGTTTTTGGGTGAGGATCGAAGAAGATGTATAGCGAAATCTGATACCGCAAAAAAACTTGTCATGTCATAGAAGAAAATTAGGAGTACAAACGTGCATACAAAAAGGCATTTTGTGTGTATTTGAGACAAGAAATAAATGGAATTATCCTCAACACGTATTTTATTAGCACACAAATCGTCACCATGCACCTATGCACTGCCGTTTCCTTCCAGCTACAGTATACAACTTACAGCTTAGACTCCCAATAATGCCATCCCTGAAGCAGATGTTACATCACATCAGAGCCAAACATTGGTAACTGAAGCTTCATGACGTTTAGGCAACACGTACAACTACAAAGCGAACTCACAACAAGTGTCCATCAGCGAGTGCTAAGTTAACATCTTGTAAAAAAAACCTACGTTGTATAAAAAAATCTGACCTAATGTCACATTTCAAGATACGTCATACCCGTGCCGGTCTTGCCATTTACACATCCTGTGATGCCTCAGCATTGCAGTACTAACATTCTGAATGTGTATGGTTATTATCCTATAGGATATACCCTTTCCAGGAAACTAGCAAGTACTCATGATGTCTGAATATATGACAAGAACGAAAGTTCTCATCACTTTTGCACCATACCAACATTACCCACTGAGAAAGAAATGGGATATGATATCATTGTCAGCCTCAAATGAGTGAGCATCTATGTTGTCCGATTATTATTTGATGGAAATTAGTAAACAACCCGTGTTGCACTTGATATAAGGTCCCATATACCAAGTAGAACGTTTTCATAAGGCGCATGTAACTATACCTGATGTTCTAACCAGCTGAGCTATTTAAGCACTTGAAACACCGTCGCTTTGTAGTTGGATTGGCAGCCTAGAAGCTAGGCTTAGGATAAACGTCTGGCCAACGCTCATCTAACGTATTATGAGTAGTAGTATGTGTCTTTATTATTTGGTCAGAATACATTCCAACTTACAAGTTGAGATCTGCGGGCGACATTCAACTTTGTTGTTCTTCCATCCAACCCCCACAATGGGGGCGAGCCATCTTTTGGAAGGTTAACGGATTCAACATTCTTCACGGTCACGTCTATCAGCTTGGAAAGAAAAATGAGCTTTTGGTCTCATCATTCTACTATCTTCTTTTCATTTTCCAGTTGGTGCTACTCCCAATCTGCCCAGAATCCCCGCGCTACCTGCTGATCACGAAGCAATGGGAGGAGGAGGCCCGTAAGGCGCTTCGCCGGTTGCGCGCCAGCAACGCCGTTGAGGAGGACATCGAAGAGATGAGGGCTGAGGAAAGGGCCCAGCAGGCAGAAGCATCAATCAGCATGGCGGAGCTTATCTGTTCGCCGACGCTCAGAGCGCCACTTGTCATAGGTGTGGTCATGCAGTTGAGTCAGCAGCTATCTGGAATCAATGCGGTAAGTATACGGAGGCGTCTATTCGATTTAGACGCCCTTTCAAATCTGTCGACTTTGAAGTGAGACAATATCTGGAAAAATAATGTCACATTTTTAATCATACCGCTTTTTGTTCGTCATCTTCATCGTTTCCATACTATTCGATCTGACAGCACTGGACTCTACTGCTTTGTTGTCATGTTCAAGAACTTCTGCGCATGAGGTTTAAACTGCAGTCCAGCTTGTCTGTGTAAATGCTACCTCGTCCGCGCTCCTCGTGTTTGCTCAATCCTGGAAGTCAATCGGTGGCCGGGCAGCTTGACGATGTCTTGGATTGAGAGAATAGGTGCGGTTGCGCCAGAACTGCTAAAAAAAACGCATCTGTAGGGTGGATTATTAATTACGTGAGATGTTGCTGTAAAGCAGCTCAGTAGTCCTTTGATTGTTTAGGCACCGGCGGCCAGCCAAACGTGCGGCTCATATGAGGTTTGGAGCGGAGGGAGGGACCAAATCTTAGATCTCCCAAAAGGAACAGAGGGTCAATAACTCCTCACCTAATTAATGAACGCTTTATTACATTTCAAAGTCAAGCCAAATTCTTGAGTGCAATTAAGCTCGTAGTAAGTGTTCGTTCACTAGCTGAAAACCCAGCATCGAGATACGCACAAGTGTATTACCTGAATCGTCTACTGCAAAGTTTATCCTACCTAGAGACATATACCGTGCTGATCATTGCCAATAAGCATGAAACAGTGCCGTACACTGTTGTCCCTCAGTCGGTTGGATGAACGAATGCAGTGTTAGGTGCTTTGGGTGCTTCAACACATCTACTGTTTTCTTTGTTAATTCTAATGCTCTTAGGTGGACTGGATTTTATTTAATGCTTCCATTTTTGCCATTTTTATAAAGTATTATGAATTATAAATATACTCTTAATATTTTCAGGTGTTCTACTACTCGACGAACTTGTTTGTGAGCAGCGGTCTGCCAGCAGATAACGCCAAATTCGCCACTATCGGCATCGGTTGCATCATGTTCATCATGACATTGATCAGCATCCCACTGATGGACCGCATGGGCAGACGGACGCTCCATCTCTACGGGTTGGGAGGCATGTTCATCTTCTCCATCTTCATCACCATCTCTTTTCTCATCAAGGTGCGTGTGTGTAGCCCAGTCTTCAATTGGTCAAATTATGTATTTTTCTCTTTAAAAGGTATCACTTGATTGAAAACCAAGAGGTCTTAAGCATTTACTCGAACTCTATCGCATCACCTTTTCCAAATAAACAATCTTCAGATGGGGATCTGTAAGTACTGAATCAGGTGCTTGTTACTCAGCAATAGCAGAAATATCATGTCCTTGGTTATCGAAATAAGCCTCCGTTATGGCAAACGTGCGTCTATGTCATATACAGGGTGATTTACAAATCGTGCCCAAAAATGTGTGGCTTACTATTTTTATTTGGAAAAATAATACCCCTATTACCCTGAATCTCCGCCACTGGTGCACGCTAATTTTAAGCAAAAACTTTTGAATGTGGATAATACTCAGGTAAATCCACATAATATACTAAGTGACATATAAATCCTAACACCCAGTTTAAATGGCTTTATTTTAATAAAAGTTGGTGAATGTATTTATCTTACTGTAAATAACAAGTGAAAAAATTTTCAGCCTTATCAGTTGGTTTTTATACTGCTTTCTTTTAATTCACTAAGGCTCTAAAAATGAATATTTCAGCCGCAGTAAAAAATCAACGTTGGCGGATTTTGGTTCTTGACATCCTTTACGATCGGTTACGATGCCTAGAGTACGGAGACCTGTACGATTTCGTCAACTTAGTGAGTTTGATAGGGGCCGTATAGTGGGACTTCGGGAAGCTAGACTTTCTTTTCGGGCAATTGCAGTTAGAGTGCAAAGAAGTGTAGACACTGTGGTTAGGTGTTGTCAGGCATGGCTTCGAGAAGGCCGTACGCAAAGAGCAAGGGGCACTGGACGCCGCCGTAGAACAACAGACCGTGAAGATCGCCGCCTAAGATTATTGGCCTTAAGGGACCATTTCTCCACTACCAGGTCAATTGCAAATGAATGGTTTGCAGAACACGGAATACCTATTGGCATGCGAAGTGTTTACCGACGAATGAGAAGTTTTGGCTTGTTTTCATACCGGCCACACTGGGTCCTCCCTTTAACTCGAGAACACCGACATAATCGCCTTGAGTGGTGCAGACAACGGTCACTCTGGGATTAGGAATGGAACAGTATTGTCTTTAGTGACGAGTCTCGATTTTGTTTAGGCATGCACGATGGTCGTGCCAGGGTTAGAAGGCGACGTGGTGAATGGAGGAATCCACAGTTTTTTGTTGACAGACATGTTCATCACACTGTTGGAGTTATGGTTTGGGGTGCTATAGCTTATGGTTCCAGGTCACCTTTTGAAGATATTAATGAAAATGTTTTTTATTTTTAATCACCCCGTATCTTTTTAATGAAGCCCTCGAGGAAAAAATGTTACGTAGTCCCCCCTTAAAATGCGGTCCATTGTATGATTCTTCATTTTTTGTCACGACTTGTGAATCACCCTGTATAGTACGATGCCAACCAAAGCAATGTTCACTAGGTAGCAATGTATGTCCAAGAAGCTTGTGTGGAGCAGGTTTGGCGCCGGAAGCATAGTTGATCCGTATGTTTACCTCCCAGGCCACGGCTTTTGCATTCATGTTAAGTTGCCACTTTTATCGCAGAACATAAAACCGAGAGGGTAAAGATAGTATTAAGCAGAATTTAAGAATAGGCGAATATAAAAGTTTCGTGCTATAGAAAACAGCAAGCTATAACGCATTTCAGATAGCAAAGCTATCTGTAACGCAAACAAAGTTGTAAATTACTCCGGACTGTATCACCTGTAAAATCGACCGTCAAGTAACAAAATGTTTCAAGTTCAAGCCTTAACCTACTGTTTCTCTAAAAGTGCCAAGTGATGTTAATACTGCGCAACACATACAATTTCCGTGACCGTCCAACAGCAAAATGTACCCTACATATAGATCGTACGTCATTTTAAATGTTTAAAATCAAATGCGGTATCCGAATCTTAACACAAGCCTTCCTTTCAACGATTTCGTGAGAAAGCAACCTGGTGGACTTTCGTAAATGCTGACTTCGAAACCATTGAGTACGGCACGGATATTACGTATCTTGAAAACTGACAGTATGTCGATTTTTTTGTAGATGCCTAAACGTCATAATGCTTCAGTTGTCAATGTTTGGCTCTTATGTAATGTAATGTAAAATCTGCTTCAGAGGTGGCAATACTGGAGGTCTAAGCGGTAAGTTGTATACTATAGCTGGAAGGAAAAGGCAATGCATATGTGCATAGTGAGGATTGTTGTGTTAATAATATGATGTGTTGATGATAATTCCATTTGATTCTTGTGTCAGATACACTTACTTGAGATTCAAAGCTAAAAATTAGTTGCGCATTCACTTTTTCCTATCCATTCTGGAAATTACATATGCAAATTTTGTTAAATTTAAAAAATGAGAGATGAGAAATAATTATTTTAAAACACAAAAAAACGTAAAAAACATAATTTATAACTTTGAACATGACCTGTTTTCAGAAAGGACAACATATAAATAACCCGTCTGGCACCGCTAATAAATATACTTCATTGGCAGCATATTCAGTAACGATTTTCTCACACAGCAAATATCACTGATTTTATACACATACAAACCAATACGCATAATCATCCAGATGCGATTTTGCTATTCAACCAACTTTCTTCTCAGAGACGAAAACTACAGACTACTCGGCTTCACAAAACGTATGCAATCAACAATGCGTGTAGTTGAGTCATTCCTCCATAGCTGGACGCTCACAACGATCCTAGTGAGCAAACGTGTATGGACTGTTCGCGTCCTAAAAACTACCTAGTCTGCAAGATGACATTTTATAGTTTTTGTTGACATTTTATGTGCAAACGAATAAAAAGAACAATTTGAATTGAATTTAATCCACCGATGCCCTTAAAACCAACGAATTCGGACTAGGTAGAAGGAGCGAGACTTCGATTTGTTTATCTCCTAAATCTCAATTTGTAGTCAGGATGAAAGTGTATACTGCAAGTGGAGTTGACATAAATTAATTGTTTGACAGTTCTTCCATTAGTTTCAATTTTTAACTGTTACTGTCTACACTCGCGTGTTTGCAGATGATTGTGGTTTCGAACGATTTCAAGCCAAAGTACTTCGTATATAATTTACAAAGAGCGGCACAAACCTAAGTATTATTAATATGTTGATACAAGATTGTCACTCTGGTTAATCCAAGGTAGTCAAATAAGTCAAAAGCATGTATTAGAACTACGCAATTTTGGAGACAAACAATGTAATGTAAAGATATAGTCTTGGCTTCTCCTAATCTAAACTAATTGCTTAAAATCAACTCAGCCTAGGCAATCAATCAAGTTCAGCCTGCTTTACTCTGGACAATATCGACTCACCCTTACTTGAATGCCCTTTTGTTGAAACTACAGTTGCAGGTATCTAAAGGTGAACCACATCTTCGTTGTATTATTATTATTAAGTGTATAAGAACTTGCAATCTGCAATTGGTATTTTAAATCTTAACTTATATGATACCGGTAAAAGCGATAGTTCATACTTGCTGATGAAAGCTTGGAGAGAATCTGTGGCATTCTAGTATGCTAAGTACATCCTAGATCTAAACTGTCTGCTTGAAATGTAAGGCCTCTTGGTTTTATGTACCCTCCGCAGTCTCAATATTATTGATTATGTCAATCTGAAACATAAAAATGTGTATCATATACGTAGACGTGTTGCACATGCAGTAAGTGAAGTTTATTTTTATGGAATAACCCGATGAGACGACTACTTCAGTAATATTAGCTGTGAGAAGGGTACTACATGATACAAAAGCCAAATAAATATAACATTTTCATTCCATTTTGGTTTTAATTATTAACAGCTCTCTAGCGTAAGTATGTAGTTGGACATTTATTTTGACAATCTAATAATAATGGAAGACAATGGCAAATTGAAAATGATTCACCAACCTGTGCAAAAATCCCATTAACATTGAATCACTCTAAGTAACTGACAGTGCCAAAAATATAATAACGGCTCTAAATGTCAGTTACACAGCGTAAAATGACTACACTTGTACCATTTGACGTAATGTTTATTTAATTATGGCAGTAATTGATTTTAGCACAATTTAGCCATTTTGATAAACGCTCAAAACATTGATTAATCCCTGATATATTGGACAGGTGATTATAACAAGGGTGCCAATGACGCATGTTTGCAAAATAATACGAAAAATTTTACATGTATTGGTGCGTAGTTGGGGTGTGTTTGTGTTATCGTATGCAATTTCGAAATCTGATTGTGAGTCTTTGAACCAGAAAGGAGCGCTGATTCGAGAGCTTAGGACCCCATAAGTACCTAAGAAAGCATTTTTTATTGTGCATGCATAAACGCTCGATAGTTAATAGGTCGACACGTTGCTGAGAAATCAGAGAAAGACGGTTGTAATTGGCAAGACATGTGGAAGAATTCCATTTTGGAACTTTAATCTCTAAAAACCCAAGAATCTCATCGAATTTTCTGTTCCTCTTGTGTAGATTTTGTGATTATGCACCTACAGTATCTGCAACGGTCATTGGTTTGCCGTTTCCGCAACTGCTCGGGCAAAAAAGTGATTACCCTGTCGTACACAGCAGCGTAGAAGACACATTGTTGATCAAGCGTCCGAACTGTTGTAGAAGAAAGTTGGGGATCTTTTTCTGGCAGAAGCGCCCAACTAAACTTGACAGCTCCGTCTGGAAGCCTTAGAATGTGGTAGCTATCATAAGGAGATCTTAGAATTGCAAATCCGATGACATTTTGATAGATGAGAGCCAGATCACCAGTAGCTCGTTGTAGTGACTGAGGCTTATAATTGTTGAGGAAGTGTCGCCGAGCATTTTCACACTTCTCTGAATTCTAACAATAAGTTGGGAGAGCGTAGTCGGAGAAGCAGTACCCCAGACAAGTGGTCAATATTACTGGCCGGATATTATCACTGATGAGGTTAGATAGTGAAGAGTACATCCTACCTCCAAAATGTAAGATCGCTTTTTTCCAGGAGCTAA